GTTGACAGTTTTGTTCCTGATGAGCGATCTTTGGCCCCATGGAGCCTGTCAGATCGTGCATCGTGCCAAGATGTAAGTGATGCGTGGCCCTGTGCAACTCGATAATGCCTGCCGACTCCGTCTGAAGAAGGGTACTGTTTTGCATGTCGTGTACGAGAGTGTGCTGAACCTTACGCGTGCCTGGGCCTCGGAATTGAAACATAAACGCTGATTTCCCAGGCTTGGTATTCACTCTGAGGCTTCTCTCGGCAAAGGCATCGACGATGGTAGCCACTAGAAAAAAAACTTGAAACAAGAGCGATCCAGCGCTTCCCGTGAAGCAGAAGTGGGCGTCATCAAAGACAGCACCCTCCATAGCATGGCTGGTGTGGACTGGCACTTCGTCCGCTTGATAGGCTGCTAGAGAAGAGCTGTGCCATGCTGGAATACGTAAGGAGACCCCCAAGATCCAGAAGTCGTACCTGGGCAGGCATCAGCAACCTGGACATAATGAAATTGAACGCGACGTCTCCGCACTGCTGGTCTGGCCCTGACCCTAGGAAAGGGAAGGCGACCCCATCCCCGTCACGAACGTAAAACCAGACCTGATCGTAGGCGTCGGATATGAGGGCCCTCTTGTGGGCCGAGGCCCTGGCTTCCTCCATGGCGGTTCAGTTGTTTTTTTCAGATACTTGGCAAGTTCGTGCATGGCCTCTTGAGGTAACCGACAAGCCTTCATGAGCCTGGCGATGGATTCGTCGTCGCTCGCCGTAGTAATGACCATCTCTCTGATGACCCTGTAGAAGGCCTGGATGGCATCGACAAAAACGAAGAGTAGCCATAGCTTGCGTGTCAGGGGAAGCTGCTGCATGGCTCGGAGCTCGAAGGCGGAACACTCCGTGCCCTTGCCCGCGATACCTCCAAACTGGCGATCACCTGCGAAACTGGGGAGGGCTCGGGCAGCTTGCGCTCTGGTGATAGGTCTGTACCTCTTGCCGATCTGGGAGGAGCCGAGGATGGATCTGTAGTTGGTGACGGTTGATGGGGCTCCCGCCTAGAACAGGCTCCAATAGAACCCCCCTTTCCACTGGATTGGTTCGCACATTCTGATGCTGCTCTTGACGACCAGGGGGTAGAACGCAGGGAGAGGAGGATGGAGGAGGGGGGAGGATGGAGAAAGGAAGGGGGAAGGATGGTCAGGATGAATAGGAGGATGAGCATGATACGTACGAAGAGCGATGTACATCAAAGTTTCAAAAGCACATTCCCAAAGCATTGCATGCCCTTAGAATGGTTCCCTGGGCCCAGTTGCCCCGTGCCCGTCCGTGGCCGCCCCATTGCTCCCAGTAGGAGGCCCGTTTGCGGGCTCGGCGGCCCCGCTCCCGCCCGTTGCCGCAACGCATCTATATATATATATATATATATATATATATATATTACGCCACATAAGTTGCACCATTCAGCTCGCACCGCATTGTTTACACCGCATAGCTTGCGGCGCACAGCCCACACCAGATCGCGTACGCAGCACAGCTCACACCACGTAGCGTATGCAACACTGTGCTCACCACATAGTTTTCACAACAGATGATGCACCTCACAGCTTATGCCAATGACGATGGCAATCTGATGATGCGGATGATCCTGATGATGATGATGATGATGATGATGATGATGATGATCCTGATTATGCTGATGATGATGGTGCTCCTGATGCTGATGATGATTGTGATGGTGATGGTGATGGTGATGACGACGGTGGTGTTTGTAATGATAAGAATGGTGATGATTCGGTTGAGGAAGCATATGAGGATGTCGGTGGTGGTGACGGTGGTGGTGGGTATGATGATGTTGGTCATCGGGATGAAGACGAATCAATCGCATCACTAGAACAACGCGCCCGCTTCGCGCGCTTATGTTTTAGCCAAGGTGCAACCAGCGTCATATCAATCAGCAGATGGGTACGCACGCCATCCCACCACGTGGGAATTCCTGCGCTATCGTATGCATATGTATCTGAATCCCCGCCTATTTCGGCACATCCTGCGCGGGGATCGTGCCCACAGGGAACGCCGCTGGCGGCCCCCCCGCCCATCTCGGCACACCCCTCACAGGGATCGTGCCCCACAGGGGGCTCAACGTACGGCCCCATCGCATAGCGTCACCCCTCACGCGGCTCGTGCTGCCCTGGAGGTAATTGCATGTACGGCACCAGAGTGAAGCTTCGCATAACCTCGCCCCACCCACGTCGGCACACCTCTCACACGGATCGTGCCCTGCAGGGAGTTCCACCTACGGCCCCAGAGACAAGGTTCGTATCCCGCCCCCCCGCCTACTTCGGCACACCTCTCAAATTGATCATGCCCCACAGGGAGCTCCACCGACGGCCCCAGAGACAAGGTTTGCATAGCGCCCCCTCCGCCAGTTGTGGTTCATCCCTCACGCAGACGGTGCCAAACAGGGAGCACAACCACCAGCCCCAAAGACAAGGTTTGCGAATCGTCCCTCCGCCCATGTTGGCACACCATTCGCGTGAATCGTGCCTCGGAACGAGCTCCACCTATGTCACTAGTTGGCAACTTCGCATGGCGTTTCCCCGCCCATTTCTGCACATGCCTCACATGGGCCGTGGCCCGCAAGGAGCTCCACTTGCCGCCTCAGTCGGCCGGTTCGCGCGAGGGCACCCGGATCATTCGGCACCCCTTTCAAGTGGATCGTGCCCCACACGGAATTCAGTGCGTTTGTGCACGCCTGTTCCGTAGCAGCCCGTTATCAGCTCAGTCCTTCGCCGCGCTATACACGAAGAGAGGGCCACGCCCTGCGCGACACGTGACTCCATAGTGGGTCAGTGGCCATGCCAACCGTTTGCTTGTCTGTGGCCTTAGGCCCATATCGCCACCGTGCCTGAGTTTGGGGACAGAGGCTTCTTGGATACCTGTGATTCAAGGTCTCCGAGGGTCTCTTGGCATGCTTCTCGGGCGCCTCGTGGAGCGAGTTTTTAAGCTTCTCGGGGCCGTTTGGGGGCCTCTTCGGATCTCTTTTGGGGCGCTCGGGGGCCTCTTTGGTGCCTGCTGGCGGCCTCGGGGGTCCACCTGGGGCGGAGGGCTCAAGATAGGAGTTCGGGTTCCCCCTGTTGGGCCTCTCGTGGGGCCTCTTGGACCGTCTTGGGGCTCTGGGGCCGCCTTGGGGGGGCTTCTTGGGCCGTCTTTGGGGCGATCTTGGGTGCCTCTGGGACCACCTTGGACGCCGTGAAGATTCAAAAAGCGAATCTGCTAAACACCTTCGTGCTCCTTAAGGAATGTAGCAATTTTGGCCAGCAGGGGGCGCTCTTGGGGAGCATCTCGGGTCCTTCTTAAGGTCGTTTGGGGTGCTCCCCAGAGGGTGCTGTGGGCGGCCGTGGGGGTCCAGAGGCAGGCCAGAGATGCCCCCCCAAAGGATGGTGGGTGGTCACAGGGGGAGGGGGGGAGGAGGATGAGGAGGAGGAGGAGGAGGAGGAGAAGGAGGAGGAGGAGGAGGACGAGGAGGAGGAGGAGGAGGAGAAGGAATAGGAATAGGAGGAGGAGGAGGAGGAGGAGGAGGAGGTGGAGGAGGAGGGGGGACATCGGGGATGGTATGTCGGCCCCGGGGCCCTGGTGCCCCAGCATATGCTCCCCAATCAGTGCTTGCACCGGAGGGGTCCTAGCGGACGTTGAGAGTTTTGGCGAAAGTTCCTGGTCGATTTCGGTGGGCGGCCGGGTTAGTGGATTCCCGGCTTTGGGTTTCCGATTTCCCGGTTGCTGGTTCCGTACCGTTTCGGTTTGCGGCAGGGTTCCCGGGTGTTTGGGTCCCCGAGTTTCTGACCGATTTCTTTATCGATCGGTCCCATCATCGATCTCATTATACCCACCTCTCGATCGACTTCACTATCGGGCTCGCGACCGACCCTACTATCGCCTTCACTATCGAGCCCACGATCGATCCCACTATCGATCGCACGATCGATCTCAACATCCGTATCACTAATCTACAAATTATCCACCGATTGTTTTTTGGGTATACCTATATATACATATGTAAATCAGACAAGAAATGAGGATGAGGAGCATTGAAGTCGGAGTGGAGGGAGGTGGTAGGGGGGAGGGGGTCACGGGAGGTGGAAAGAGGAAGAGGATGAGGCGGAGGAGGGAAATGAGGGAGGCGGAGGGAAAGGTGTGGGGGAGAGGAGGCGTGGGAGCGGGGAGGTGGGGGGATGAGAACGAGGAGGAGGAGGACGGATGGGTGTGGGAGCGCGGAGGAAGGAAGGGCTGAGCAGGGGACGTGGGAGGGGGGAGGGGGATGGGTGGAGAGGATCAAGGGAGGGAGGGAAGGGAAGGCGAGGGGCGAGGCACGGAGGCAGGAAGAGATGGAAGTGGCGGGCCAAGAGGGTCAGGATGGCAAGAACTGGTACGCCAGGGGGAATGCAAAGGGGGGAAGAGGGGGGATGGAGGTGAGAAGAGGAACGCGTGGAGAGGGGGAAAGACGAGATGAGAGCGGGAAATGGAGGGGGGGACGGAATGAGAGGCTAACAGGGTGAGGAAAGGGAGGGGGGGGAAACGGGATGAGGAGAGGGAGGGATGGGTAAGCAGATGAGAGTGGGGATTCGACTGTGGTTGAGGGAAGCGAGAGGAAGGTGAGGGAACGGGAGGGAGTGCAAGATGATGGTTCGGATTGCGAGGAGGCGGCATAGGATGAGCAGCAGCTTTGGATGAGGCGTAGGCATCAGGATGTGGAGGAACACATCGGGAGGATCATTAAGGAGGAGGAGGTGGAGAGCGCACTCTCCTCCCCCTCCTTCCCCTCCATTCCCCTCGCCTCTCCCCCCTTCAGTCCTCCCCTGCCTTCCGCGGCTTCCCTCCCCGCGCCGCCCCCCCGTCCCATCGAGATGCCGAGGGGAGCAGGGCGGATGAGCTCGTCCGGGCGAGTCAGATCGGGAGTCTGCAGCCTCCTCCTCCTCCTCCTCCTCCTCCTCCTCCTCCTCCTCCCCCTTCCCTCAGCCGGCCGAGGTCCTGAGACTGACCAGGACGTGGAACGACAGCAGCCGCGAGCAGGACGCATGGGCGGCGGTCAGGAGCCCGCCTCCTCGTCCATGACGTGGTGCTGTGGTGGGGCTGTTCGCCCCTGCGCTGTGGCGGCCAGCCCGGTGGGAAGCGAGAGGGGGCTGGCCTCCTCAGAGGGTTCGGAAGTCCTCTGGCCTTCACGACGACGACGATGACGACGACGACGACGACGACGACGACGACGACGACGACGACGACACCGACGACGACGATGGCGACGGCGGCTGGGGGCGGCGGCGACGGTGACGGCGGCGACGGCGATGGCGACGGCGACGACCACGGCGACGGCGACGGCGACGACGGCGACGGCGACGGCGACGGCGACGACGACGACGCGAACAGGGTCCCCCCCACCCCTTGAGGCTTCGACGGCGAGCGCCGGCGTCGGCGCCGGCACCGTCGGGCAGTGACGACGACGACGACGACGACGACGACGACGACGACGACGACGTCGACAACGACGACGACGCCGACGCTGGCGCCTGCGCCGGCGCCATCGGGCAGCGACGACGATGACGACGACGCTGACGAAGACGACGACGACGACGACGACAATGACGACGACGATGACGACGACGACGACGACGACGATGACGACGACGACGATGACGACGACGACAACGACGACGACGACGATGACGACGACGATGACGACGACGACAACGACGACGACAATGACGACGACGACGACGACGACGCCGACGCCGAAGCCGACGCCGACGCCGACGCCGACACCGACGCCGATGGCGACGAGGACGTGCACAGAGCCCCGTCCCGTTGGCGCAGATGGGCAGCGACGGTGACGACGACGACGACGACGACGACGACGACGACGACGACGACGACGACGGAGACGACGACGACGACGACGACGACGACGACGACGACGACGACGACGACGACGACGACGACGACGACGACGACGACGACGACGACGACGACGACGACGACGACGACGACGACGACGACGACGACGACGACGACGACGACGACGACGACGACGACGACGACGACGGCGGCGGCGGCGGCGGCGGCGGTGGCGGCGGCGGCGGCGACGGCGACGCGCCCGGGGGGGCGCCCCCCTCCCCTGCAACCAACGACTGCGAACGCCAGTGTCGGCGCTGGCGCCTTTGGGCAGCGACGACGGCGACGGCGGCGACGGCGACGGTGACCTGCGACGACGACGACGCGCACAGATGGGGCCCAGGGGGGAGGGGGGCCCCGTTCGAAGCCTCCCATCTTGCATCTTGCAACTCAGGGGGGAGGCGCCTGGTTGAGACCCCCCATCTTTCAACTCGGGGGGTGGCCAGATCGACCCGACGGGATATCGATTCTGGCCGGCCTGGTGCGATCCGATGCCGATGTTCTGGCGATCCCGTGCGGCCCCGCCGTTTCGATGGCGCTGCTGTTGTGCATCTTGGCGCGGCCGACCCGAAGCGATTTCGACTATGTTCAGGAGGGGAAAAAACACACAGACACAAGTAATCGTCGATCCCCAGGAAAATATGCGAAAATATGGGAAGTGGGGGGGAAGACAAAACCCTCAAGAATATAGGAAAATATGGGGAATCTGGTTATTTGTGTGTATTTATTTAATCGCTTCGCTCATTCCGCCGGCCCGTATTGTGCCATCGCAGGCGTTTGCTTGCGCGTTCGTGGCCTCTTGGAGCCTCGGTGGGGCCGTTTGGGGCCTCTTGGCGCCTCTTTTTAGGCCTCTTGGAGAACTCGGGAGGCCTCCAGGGGGCCTCCTGAGCTCTCGTGACGGTCTCTTGGGGGGCTTTCGGCGGGCTCTTGGCGGTATTTGTTGGTCCTCTTGGGGCCTGGGGCCTGACGTTGTTGGTCCTCTTGGGGCCTCACGGGAGCTTATTGGGGCGTCTTGGGGGTGTCTTGGAGAGTCTCTTGGGGCCTCTTTCGGGGTCCTGGGCGCCTTCTGGGGCGGAGGGCTCGATTTTTCAGTTCTCGGTTCCCTTCTTGAGCCCCTCTTGGGCCCGTCTTGGGGCCTCTTGGTCCGCCTTGGGCAGCACTTGGGCCGTCTGGGGGGCGCTCTTGGGCCGCTCCGGGGCCGTCTTGGGAGCCTCGTGGGCCGTCTTGGAGCAGTCTTGAAGGCCTCTTGGGCCCTCTTGGAGCGTCCGGAAGCGAAAAGGCCAGAACGCAAAAAAACATAGAAAAAAACAATGAAAATCAACGATTTTGGCAACTTGGGGCCCTCTTCGGAGGCCTCTTGGAAGGCCCTTGGAGCGTCTTGGAGGCCTCTTGGGCTGTCTTGGGGCCATCTGGGGCGTCTTCGGGCGATCTTTGGCCGTCTCGGGCCTCTCTTGGACCGTCTAGAAAGCTTCTCGGGGCCCTCTTGGACCGATCTGGAGCCCTCTTGGACTCCGAAACAAAACTCCGGCATCTCTGACCCGACCTTGCCGGGGCCTTGCCGGGACCTTGCCGGGGTACTTTTCGTCCGGGGACCCCCAGGGGCCGCCCCGCGCGCGCGAACTAGAAATACTGTTAACCAGGTACCGGAGATCTTAGCACGCCCTGGCCCGTTGGGCCGGTGAATTTGTGTGTCCCAGGGCCCCTTCATATGTGCCGATGCAGCCCGACCCGACGCGCACTTCGATTCGGCCCGACGTCCCGCTGGATTCGATGCTGACTGATCCTGCCCTCACATGTCTCCCCGTGCATGTGCCGCCTGCGAGCTCCCGGCGGGGTGTCCCACCTTCCTGTCGGGGGAAGGGGGGTCGGGAGGACGCTGCCGCGCACCTTGCTCGTGTCCTGGCGCTATGGGGAAGCAGAGCCTCCCGTGGACCTCCGATGCTGGGATTCGTTCCCAGACATGCGACGTCCTGATTTTTTCAATACGGGTCCCTGGAAGTTCCGACCCGTTCCCCGGGACCGACCGGTTTTTCATCCCGAGTCGTTTTTGTTACGGCCCCGAGGCCCGGCGAGGGCCCCCGAGGCCGAAAATGGCTAAAGATTTTCCGTCCTGATTTTTGTTTACGACGCGATCATGTCTAGGTTCATATCCACCGCCTGGGCGGCCGCTCTCCATGGACCTCGGCAGGCGGTGGCTGTGGATGTGTGTGGGCCCCCATGACGCTGTGGATGTGTGTGGGCCCCCATGACGGCCCACACATACCCATATCCACCGCCCCCTTGCGGCCCCAGGACAGCGGCTCCCCAGGCGGTAGATGCGGAGAGATGCCCCCGCCCCGCACGATCGGCGCACAGGTCGGGCACAGCCAGGACCCCGAGCAAGGGGAGCCAGTCCCCAGACATCGGGCGTCTCGAAAAAATCGAGACGGAAGTTCTTCGTCGCTTTCGGGCCTCGGGACCGTCAAAAAACGACTCGGGATGAAAAACCGGTCCCGGGGAAGTGGTCGGGAGGTCGGAGGCCCGTGTCTCGAAAAAATCGTGACGTCGGATGTCTGGGTCATTGACTGATCTCCGGAGCCACACGAATCAGCCAGAATCACCAGATCGAGTATGCCGTAGGTGGTGCTTATGCCGGTGATGGCAGTTCCGGTCCGTGGACTGGGGCGGGGGGGGGCGTCCCCCGGTACACATCACTGAGTTCGGCCCCGCTAAACCAAGTCCCAGACCGCCGACGTCGTGTTTTCGGGCCGACTGCAAACCTATAGTCCCGCCACCGCCCGGACGCCGGGCACGGCCTGCTTCCATGCCGCGGCCGGCCGGCCCCCTCGGCCCCCGGCCCCCCCCCCCGGCAGGACGGCCATCGTCGGGGTGGCGTTCGGCATGTCCGGGGAAGGGGGGGGGGGCGTCCGGCCGGGGGCGCGCCGCGCGCTCCGAGGGCGGGGGGCACGAGCGCGGGTTGCCGCGCCGCTCGCGCCATCGCTGCCTTTTTGGTTTTACGTCGGGCACGTCCGTCCACAGGAGAAAGAGATCAAAGATAATCGACAAATAGTCTGGGGACGATCTTTTTCCACTACTATTTGACAATTGTTTGAACATGTCTTGGCGGTGCTTCAGTTTTCTTCCAACGTCCGCTCTCCTCCTTCACCTCGTCTGTTTCCTGTCCGCTGCCTTCCTCGGCTCCGATCGACCGAGGGAAACCGCGTGGGCGTACACTTTCGGAGCCCCGCGCGGAGTTCTCGGATCGGCGCTGGGGCCCTCCCGGCGGCGCCCCTGGCGCCGCCCCGGGCGCGCTCCGCGCGGCGGAGAGGGGGGGGGGCTTCAACGCCGACCCACGAGAGATCCGTGCGGAGCTCCGAAATTTTTATATATATATATATATATATATATATATATATATATATATATATATATATATATGTATATATGTATATAATATATATATATATCTATATATATATATATATAATATACCGGGCGTCCAGGTCCCCGGGCCCAGGGGCAGCCCACTTTTCCAAAACTCCCCCACCCCCCCCCCGCACCCGACTTTAGTCCCCGGCGCCGGCGAGCCTATTTGAACGCTCCAGGGCGCTCCCTGCGCCTCGGAAGCCCCCCTTGGCGCCCGCAGAGGGCGCCCAGAGGCCCAAGAGGGCTTCAGGACGACCCCAAGAGGGACCCAGGAGGGGAACTACGAACCGGCATGTCGAGCTTTCCCCCCCAAGAGGCCCCCAAGAGGCCCAAAAGAGGCCCCCAAAAGAGAAGCTAAGCGCTCGCGAAGCGCGCGCGTGGTTCTAGTATGCTTAATGGAGGATGACGATTCATAAATGACCGGGGGTCTTGTTCACGCGGCGGCGCCCGGGATGACGATACGAAAAAACCGGCCGCGGGCTGGAAAACTATTTTTCTAGCGTTCTCCCCCAGTCAGAAAACGATGCAGAAATAGCAGACAATTTTTTGTTTTTTAATCGTTCTCTCCAATTTTTTTATTCATCGTCATCCCGCATTGCACCATCGTGTTCTTCCGTTCGACGGGAGGCCTCCCCGCGCTCCCGCCACCCGATCGGGGGTCGAGGCCGAGGTGGGGAGGAGCCTGACCTTCTCGTGCGCTCCCCCACCGTCTCCTGGTCCATGGGGGGTGGACAGACCTCCCACCCTGGCACGTCGATTCGCGAACTGGCCGTCTTCGGTGCGCGAGAGGGCGTCGCGGCCGTCATTTTTGCGGGTCCAGGTCCGTCGGTTCCGGTCCCAGGCTGTTTTTCAGCCACGCGCAGAGGGGGGTGGGGGGAGGGGGGAGGGCTTCTTAGAAGCACCCCTGCTTCTTAGAAGGCGCGGGCCTTCTCTATAGATGTCAGGCAGGCGCCTTCTAAGAAGCAGCCTCCTTCTAAGAAGCCCTCCCCCTCCCCCCGCCACCTTGTGCACGCCGCCAAGTTTTCACTAAGGAGAGGTTTGCTAGAGAGAGGTTTGTCCACCGCCGATGATTCCTGATTTCTGATTCCTGATGGCCTGGGAGTTCGTCGAACGCGGCCCTCCCCCCCCAAGGGCTGGTCGGCCCGAGCGGCTGATCAAGCTAATGCTGCAGGAGTCGCCGACTGATACTGAGTAAAGTAGATGTTGAAGGCAGACAGCAGACAAGAGGAAGAGGAAGGAGGGAGAAAACCTGAAAAAATGATCACCTCCTCCTCCACCTCGTGTGTTTTAATTCGGCGCGTCCCAGGGAGGTTCTCGACTTCGGCGAGTCTCGCTTTTGGCGGCGGCTGGCGGAGGTGAAGCGGCGGCGGGCGCGCCAGCGGAAGGCGGCGCAGGGCGGCGGAAGTAAAAGTGGGACGTCAACCCATTCGGGTTTGGGGTGGAGCCAGGGGGAGGAGGATCAGAGGAGGACAAGGTACCCATACCACTACCCTTCGCCCGCGTTCACGACCCTCGTCGACACCGCCGGATCCGCTTCGAAATTTTGGCCAGAACGCACATTGGGAGAGGTCCAGGGACTAGCGGAACCGGTACAAGTTTCGACGCAGGGTTTCTGAAGCCCGTCTTTACACATATACAGAGATACATAGATATGCGCATTTACATACATATATGTATATATATGTATAGATGTATAGATATATAGGTATATAGATGTAGTTGATTCAGTCACCCTTGCCTTGCCTTACCATCATCTGCTGACATGTACTGAAGTTGTGTTGGCTTCGGTCGCCGAGAAGAAGTTCGGCCCGCCCGCCGCGCGCGCCCGCCGGCCGGCGGGCCCTCCCCCTACTAGCGCGATCTTAGTCATAGCGTATCGGCACGGCACCATACTAAGCCATGGTAACAAGGAGTACCTTTCCCATACACCATTTGGATATGAGTACGAAATTATTACAAGAATCAGCGCATTATGAAAAACAACTACATATGTTGCCGTTTCATCGGGCTGCGAAAGCTCCCCTCCTGACCCAAAACAGGCACAGCACGTTTTACCAGCGGAAAATTCGATCATCGATGAAAGCGATGTCGCCAAGTGGGGGAACTATGTTTCTCCCTCGGTGGATCAGATGCGAAAACCAGAAGACCGGTGCTACAGCTTAAGTATGAACGTTCCTCGAGCTGCTTCAACCGACGATGTCGGGGAGCAAGGTCAACGCCTTCATTCAGATATCAGCTGGGTTATTTCCTATGACAATGAGCATTGCCTTGGCATTCCGAAGGCCACTGACGACAAGGAACCCGACTGGTACGAGGGCGGCGAACAAGACGTGGAATCCATATCGTCAGAAGAGAACTTCTCCCGCGCGAATCAACGCCGAGATCGATTGCCTATGATAATGTCCGCCTGTCGCAAAAAAAAGGAAGGTGAGGTCTATGGCATCAGTTCTCCTGTTCCACTGGCCGACGACCCGCTTCCCACACAGGTGTCTCGCGCCTGTGGCGAGGAGACTATGATCCCCCCCGGCGCATCGCTAGAACGGGGTCTCGAAGAGACCACGGAGGACCAGCTCCTGGGCAGCCCAGTCAGGGCCACCAGTCGTCTTGGGGCCCTCTGGGGGCATATCAAGGGCTTTTGGAGGCCATCTTGGGCGTCTTAAGGGGGCCTTTTTGGGGGCCGTTTGGGGCCCTCTTGGGGCCGTCTTGGAAGCCTTTGGGGCCGCCTCTTGGGCGATTTTTGGGGCCTCTTACGCCGTCTTGAGCCGTCGGAACCCCGAGAAAAAACATGCCACAATCTTGCAACGAAAACCATGAGAAACTCTATATGAGTTTGGCTTCGCTGTTGAAGGTCTCCTGGGCGCCTTTTTGGCCGTCTTGGAGGCCTGTTGGGGGCCTTCGGGCCGCCTTGGGTCATCTTGAGGCCATTTCAGGCCGTCATGGGTGCATTTTGGGCCGTGCTGGAGGCATCAAGGGACCATCTTAGCCGTCTTGGAGGCCATCTTGGGCGTGCTGGAGGCCTTTTGGGCAGTCTTGGGGCCGTCTTGGAGGCCTTGGGCCGTCATGGGGCCATCTTGGCGGCCTCGTGGGCGATATTGGGGCCTTTTTGGGCCGTTTTGAGCCGTCGGAATGCCGAAGAGAAACACATGTCAAAATCATTCAAACACCGTAGGGCAATCAATGATGTTGGCCTCTTGGGGCCCTCCTGGAGGACCTCTTGGAGGCCTCTTGGGCCTTCTTGGAGGCCTCGGGGGGGCCTTTCGGGCCGTCGCAAGCCATCCATCCGGAGGTCATCTCATGCCGTCTTGGGTGCATTTTGGGTCGTGTTGGAGGCATCTTGGGGCCATTTTAGCCGTATTGGAGGCCATCCTGGGCCTCTTGGGGGCCTGTTGGGGGCCTCTTGAGCCGTCGTAGGCCGTCTGGAGGTCATCTCATGCCGTCTTGGGTGCATCTTGGGCCGCGTTGGAGGCATCCTGGGGCCATCTTAGCCGTCGTGGAGGCCATCCTGGGCGTATTGGAGGTTTCTTGGGCAGTCTTTGGGCCTTATTCGGGCCATCTTTGAGGCCTCTTGGCCGTCAAGGGGCGCTCTTGGAGGCCTCTTGGGCGATCTTGGGGCGATCTTGGGGGCCTCGTCGGCCGTCTTCAGCCGTCGGAACCCCGAAAAGACCCAAATGCCAAAATCCTTTAAAATCTATGGCAAATCCAAGATTTTGGCTTCTTCGGGCCCTCCTGGAGGAGCTCTTGGAGCGTCTGGGAGGCCTCTTGGCGGCCTCTTTGCCGTTTTAGGCCATCCTGAGGCTATCTTAGGCCATTTTGGGTGCATCTTGGGCCGTCTTGGCATACTGGGGCCATCCGAGCCGTCTTGGAAGCCATCTTGGGCCGTCTTGGGGCCGTTTGGAGCAGGAAAACTGTTTGCAACCGGGTCTTCCGGGTGGCCGGCGGGGCGCGCCGGAGCCCCAGGGGGTTCTTTTGGAAAAAGAACCAAATCAAAACCGAAATCATGTAGTACGCAGGCACCCCTGCAATGAATCGACAGAGGGCGGCGGATCTAAGACGCCTACGGCGAATCACCGCCGCCCCCTGCCTTTTTGGAAGCGCCTATGTGGCCGAACGTTGAGGCCAGAGGCCTGCCAAGCTATCGGACCATAGGTTCCCCGAATCGGATTGGAAAGCCTTCGGGGAACACGTGGGCATCTTGAAGGTCATCTTGGCCGTCTTGGAGGCCTCTTGGGCGATTTGTCCGCGATCCTTGGAGGCTCTTGGGCCGTCTCGGGCCGTCAGAAGGCCGAAAAGAAGGAAATGTCAAAATCCTTCTTTTTGCAAAACAAAAAAAACATGTGTTTGGCCTGTTCTGGCCTTCCTGGAGGCCCTCTTGGGGGCCTCTTGGGCCGTCGTTGGCCAGCTTCGAGCCAACTTCGGCCATCTTGGTGAGTTCCTGGCACGTCTGACGCCGTCGGGAGCCGTCTTGGGGGCCTTTCTG